GGGGGGGGGAGATAAACAGAGGCCAAAGATGACTCTTTATTGCTTGATTTTTTTCAGTTCAGGGCACAGCCAGCTAATTCTGTAATGTTTATTTTTGGAAAGAATGGAAGCGGATTAGGGTTCCAAGGCACTTTCCTAATGATCAAATCAGGACATATTGCCACCTGCTGGTGTATCCTAGCATGACGATTCTATGCTGAAGAATCCCAGTTAAATTGTGTTGTCTGCATAACTGAAACGAAGTCTAGTCATCTATATACCATGATCAAAATGTAACCTTATCACCAAATTTAGTCAACCTCTTTTAAACGTACTAAATACCTTATTTTCCCCAATTCTAGTAATGTTACAGTGTTAAGTATCAAGTTAATTGGACCCAATGACTCATCAAATCATACATCTCAAAAATTAGTTCCCCTCGTTCCTTCAAGAATGCCTCAATACTTAAGCTTCAGGAAAAAAAACAAACTGGGAAAGTTTCCTAATTCACCTTCTCTTCCTTGCATACAAAACCTCTTGGCAAGCTGTTTTGAAGATCCTTCCAAACTTAAACAGACCCAAGGTTCTAACTGTGAGCAAAGAGGGCATTTTGCTGTGGGAAAGCTTTAGAAGATGGTAAACAAAGGATTGAATTAATCCAGTGGTTATTCATTTCAGAACTAATTTTTTTAAATGATGAAAATCTCTATAGTCACCCCCAAAGCAGTAATTTTTTTAAAATCCCCCAAAAGCCTCCTTACAGCTACTGGGATCTAAATTGTTCTGAAGGTTCAATCTATAGAGTACCTTCAGAAGAGCTGAGCCAGTGATGGTAGAACTCCCTCCCCAGGGTCAGTAGTCCTTTCCCTAGAAAGGTGACTCAATGCTCTTTGAAGTTTTCCAGCAGGGTTATTCAAAACATTCTCATGTTCTCATCCATGCTTATGAAGTACTAGCTATGTATTCCAGACTGTTTTAAGCATTGGAAGTCCAGTCCTGAAGACAGGGTGGGCCTGTCTTTAGATAGTGTCTCTGACAACTTGTTTGACATCGTCATCAAGGCAACTGCCCAAACAGGTGGCAGAACCAAAAAAAAATTAAGTTCTCTCCCTCTCTTTTTGCAAACCATTATCTGTATGTCAGCTGTTACCCCCCCAACATACTGATGGTAAATAGCAGATTAGAGATATTTCACTGGTAGGTATGAATATGGGCCAACATTCCACAGGCCAGAAGGCTTTTTTTCCTTAACCTCTTGACAAACCACAATAAAGATATAAAGACAGACTCTGGATTTATAAAAAGTTGTTTTACTTTTATAAAATTTAGTACAAATCTTATTGAAATACAAATCCTTCTTTAACAGCATTAGTTATTATTACATAGTAATCCAAGTGCAAATTAGTACTTCATTTTGTCTGAACAGACCACATGTTAATTAGCCCTTCGTTTCTCTGTAAAGACTCAGCATCTTAACTGCTGAGTCATCTTCAGTTCATATTTTTCTCTCATGTGTTTCTTCATAGCTATGAGTTACGCTATCGAGAAAAACTGAAATGAGGGATTCCCTTCCCTTTATCAATTATTCAGTTTTCTCATTATTAAAAAAAAAAAAAAGTATGTGCATTCCCATAATAGTGTCCCAAAACAGCAAGATCTGCAATTCCTTCACTTCTGATGGGTAAGGGAGAAAAGAATTGGTACCACATTAAGCTTATTCATTTGTCCGGTACGAAACAGGTTGCACTGTGCCAAAATTCAAGAGCCAGCTTTTTTTTTTTAAGCTCACGCGCCAAGCCACTCTTTTCTACTAAGCTTTTGCTAAAATCAGCATTCCCCAGCACCCTACTTTGACAATTTTGTTGGAAAGAAGCTCATCAGTATTTTAGGGATACTGATCACAGGAAAAAAACAGGTGGAGATGCTGTTGGATTATTTCAACGCCCAGAAAAAGTTTTTAACCAAATGACAGCTATTTTTAAAGACCCAGGCCTTTAAAGTTGCTTTTTCCTTAACAGTAATGGCTTTACAGAGTTCCAACGACTCTCTCAGGCCTGGTTTCCATAGCTAAGGACATCCATTTTCAGGGCCACTCACTAGGTTAGCATTACCTGTGACCATAGAGTGACCTGACTCTTTCCTACTGGCCTTCAGCCTTGACTTCAGTAGCACCATACACTTGCTCACCAGCTAAGCTAATGAATCACTATTGGTCTAAATGACATGGTAAAAATAAATAAATAATAAATATATAAATAGTCATTTTTTTCACACAAGCCCTAAAGACCTCCATTGATAAAGTGCTGCACCGTATCTCCTTGAAATACACAACAAGGTATTTCATTCATTCACAATAGGTTTAAACTGAGGCAGAGAATAAACAACCTGCCCCCAATGATCTGGCAAGTGAATAGCAAAATTAAGTACAAGAACCCAGGAATTCTTGATTCTTAACCCTTTATTCTAAGAGTCTATTCTTGCTTCTTGTACATGGAACTAGAGATTATCACACTAAAAAATATTTTTTTTCCTTCCAAGACTGACTTTGTCATGTTAGTCTGACCATGGAGTGGCACCTTCTTAAGAGAAAGAAGAAAAACTAAAAGGGAATGTATCTGAAATGAAAAGAAAAAGAAAATGGAAAAAAAAAAAATTAGCCCCATCAACCTGAGGCCAGTACACACTTTAAAAGTCTTTGGCTTTAGTTTGCAGCATGTACAGCCGAGCTGAAACCTGAACTGCCATCTCAAACCCAGTGGAATCCACATGGTAAATCCCTATGGAATTTAGTCATAGCCTCAAATGCCTAGGAGATTAATGCACAAAAGCCCTGAGAACTGGCACAGTTTTCCTGGTAGGGCAGAACCCGTGTAACAGGACTCAGTAAATCTACCCACACCTCATTTATCTGGAATCCAAACCCCTAGCTCTATGGTTTTTGTGCATAAGAGAGTTAACATAGCAGGCCTGAACTGCTATCTTTGGAAAGGCCTGCTTGTAAGGGTGGCCCTTAGCTGGCATCTGGGAATATAGACTTTGGGAGAGTTCCTGCCATTAACAGATAAGACTGGCTCACTGGGTCTAAACTGTCTGTGCAAACAGTATGTTTTATGCTTTCATTTTGAGAGTCTTAATGTTTGTATGTGCCCCTCAGAGGCTATCTACATGACCTTTCCCCAATAAAAACCTTGGGCACCAAATCTGTAATTATTTCCCCGGTAGACAGCAATTTCACACATTGTCAGGAACTATTGCTAGCGGAACCAAGCACATCCTGAGTAATTCCACTGGGAGAGGACTCTGGAAGCTTGTGCCTGGTTTCTCCTAGACTTGGTCCTAGGTATTCTTTCCTTCTGCTGATTTTTCTTTGTATCTTTTCACTATAATAAATCAAAACTATGAATAAGACTATACACTGAGTTCTCTGAGTCTTTTAGTCCTGGTCTTGGGGACCTCCAATAGAGGTACAACAGGGAAGTTCAGTAAGTAACTCCCTACCATTGCCATACTTTGAATTCTCATCTTTCTATCCTCCTTTGTTTAATTAAGCAGACCCAATTCCCTGACCTTGCCAAAGCCACGGCTCTTCATGAAAGTCTCTCATTATTAGTAAATGGGGTGAACGTATATAAATTACTATACAGAAAGCAGGAATAAGTTGTTGTTGAAGGAGTTATTTCCTGAAGGAACAAGAAATACCCTTTTCAAGTTCCTTTCTCAGCTGTCTGAACATCAAACCTCCCAAGGGCAAGAGGACCCAGGGTTACTACACATGAAAACAAATGCCAGTTCTCATTCCCAACTACCACTAAGTATTCTCACTTTCTACAAGTGTGTCAGTATAGAAGTTACTGTCTTAATACTGATATATGCTCAACTTGAAGACTGACCAAATTGATCAATAAATTTAGCCCTTTTTTGAAACCTAAGTTTGTTATAAGTCTAATTTCCAACCTGGTTCCCAAGGCTGACTTAACCCATTGTCTGAAGCGAGTCTTAGCTAGTGAGTCTTGAGATGTCCATTATGTTTTAGCTGCCGTTCCTCACTCAGCCTTCTTCTCCAAGCATGGTACTTCTTAATGCTTTTCTTCCATGCAAAGCGCCAGATGTTAAACATAAAACACCAAGACACCGCATACATGGCTATTCCGCCAACCTTCACAAACCACTTGGGTGTGGGTGAGATCATTTCACAGAAAAGGAGGTGAGCTCCCACACCAATCCTCACTCCAGTGAACAGAGCCACAAAGAGGAAGTCTACTACATCTCCAGTGAAACTGTGATAGTGGCCTGTTTCACGGAGAAACCAGCGCATCTGTAGCAAGGGGTTGGTAATCTCGCTTCCAAAGAGGACTGCATTGACTTCTGTGCCTGACTCCCCAAGCACCAGTGCCATGATAATGCCTAAGATACTCAGCGTGTGATGAGCCAGCATCAGGGCCCCCTCAGACCGGAAGTAGACGCACCATCCCAAGTCGAAGATGAAGTAGCCCAAGGTGAGACACAGGACGTGAACTTGGAGGGGTGTGTTAGGTGAGCCTGAAATAAACCAGGAAAGAAGCAAATTGAGCGACTGAGTATTGTGCTGCCTTGCGTGGGGCCCCTAAATTGTTGTCTTTCAAATCTTATTGAATCAGTGAAGACAAAAACAACGGCAGGCATGTGCTTTTTAAACCAGCTAAAAGTCTGTTTGTTTCCAGAGTCTTGAGTCATTCTGTCCTGAACATCAGATTAATTTCTTAGCTTAATGGGAGATTTGGTGGTACTAACCTATCCTGAAAGTAGACTCTGCAAAGAACCCCAAAAGTTAGTGTGTTTCCATGTCCAAGAACATAGGTGACAAGGACCTGCTATGTTTGAAACGATGAAGAACCTTCAGATATAACACAAAGCCAAAGAGTTGCATTCATCTCAGTTTGACAGTTTTGAGGAAAACCCAAAGCTCAATATGTAAATCTAGGGAAGTTTTTTTATAAAAAGGATCTAGGGGAAGTTATGAGATAAACTGTGTTCTCCTCCCCCGAAATTAATATCATGAAACCCTAAACCCAAGTACCTCAGAAAGTGACTATATTTGGGAAAAGGGGCTATAATAAAGAGGTAATTAAGTTAAAATAGGATCATTAGGGTGGGCTCTAATCCAATGAAGACATTAGGACATAGATACACACAGAGAGAGTGACCATGAGGACACAGAGTGAGGGTGGCCATCTGTAAGCCAAGGAGAGAGGCCTCAGAAGGAATCAAACATTCCAATACCTTCTCCATCTGGGCTTCTAACCTCCAGAATTGTGAAAAAAACTAATTTCTGTTGTTAAGGCCACCCAATCTGTAGTATTTCAATATGGCAGGGTCAGCCAACATTTGTACCCAGAGGATGCAATTTTTATATACTCAAGGAAGTAATACTTACATCATCTAGTCATTTAAAAATTAATGTAGTTACCCCAGATGAGGCACTGGTTAAATCAGTGATAGTAAATGCATAAAACACAATACTATGGAATAATTAAAAAGGACAAAAAAAGTCCTTATCCTTTTTACATAGACGTGGAAAGATGATGTCCTTTGAATTACGACCGAGCATAAATTACATATTTACCAAAAAGTATGTAAAATACAGTTCTAGCCAGGTGAGGTGGCTCACACCTGTAATCCTAGCACTCTGGGAGGCTAAAACAGGTGTATTGCTTGAGCTCAGGAGTTCAAGACCAGCTTGAGCAACAGTAAGACCCCCATCTCTAAAACTAGTCGGATGTTGTGGCAGGTGCCTGTAGTCCCAGCTACCTGGGAGACTGAGGCAAGGGGATTGTCTGAGCCCAAGAGTTTGAGGTTGCTGTGAGCTATGACACCAGGGCACTCTACCAGGGGCAACAAAGTGAGACTCTGTCTCAAAAAATAAAAATAAAAATAATAAAATGAAATACAGTTCTATTTGTGTTTGGGTTGGTAGTGGAAGATGTTGATATTGGCTTTATGTTTTATACATTGCTGATTGAATAAATAGTAACAAGCAGTTTAAAATTTGCTTTAGGGCTGAGGATGGTGGCTTATGCCTATAATCATAGTGCTTTGGGAGGCTGAGATGGGAAGATTGCTTGAAGCCAGGAACTCAAGACTAGCCTGAGCAACACAGTAAGACTCCATCTCTATAAAAAATAGAAAAATTAGCCAAGTGTAGTGGCACATGCTTGTAGTTTCCCAGCTACTTAGGATGCTGGGGCTGGAGGTTTGCTTGAGCCCAGGAATTTGAGGTCACAGTGAGCTATGACAACACCACTGCTCTAGCACATGTGACAGAGCAGGACCCTGTCTCAAAAACAAACAAGCAAACAAAAAGGACGTTTTAAAAGTAGTTAGAAAAAAAAAAAAACAGGTGACATATACAATATCAGAGTTAACAATGAAGAATAAGACGCCAATACAAATTATAATGGGAATTATTCTTCGATATTGTACAAACTGTTTAAAAATTCCATCCAAGACTACCCTCAAATCATAAACCCCTAAGAGAAAATCCCCTATGATCCCCTACCTACCTGGGTGGGTAAAAGGCCATGGGCCATCAATGAAGCCAATGTAAGCTGAGAGGCCTATAGAGAGCACTCCATGGGTGAAAGTAACCAGGCGGCAGCTCCACTCATAGCTTCGGTGCTTATTCAGGCGGCAGAAAGAAATATAGAGCGAGAGCCAGCCACACAGGCTGCACAGCACCTGCAGACACAGAGCTAATGCCATCCTAGGATGAAAAGACCAAAACCAGAAAAACAAAGGATGCACCCTAAGAAAACAGCTTTGGGTCACTATGTATATATGTCCTCATTTCGCCTACAGAATAGCATAAACATATTACTTTTATTGAAATACTTCCTCCTTATCTACACAGCCAAGCATCTTCTATTTTAAGTATGGCTAAATTTATAACTCTATGTTCCTTAGAGATAGCATGTTGGCAACTGGCAGAAGTTGTACACTGGAAACTGGGAACTGTATTCTGAGTTGACAAGCTGACATCACAGTTATAAGTAAATGTCATTAACAACCCTCCAGTGATGACTGATCTTGGATGGTCAGACATGGATAATACAACACATATATTACACAACCTCTTCACATTTCATATATCCCAGGGAGAAGGTCTCATGAAAAAACACATCACCTTGGCTTGCTGCCTGTGGCTCAAGTGGCTAAGGTGCCAGCCACATACACCTGAACAGGCA